TCTGACAAGACGCGATGTCCACACGTTTTGTTCCACTTCACTGCAAACGCAGAAGTCGACAGAGAAATACCGACGAGGTAGCAACGGTTCGCGCGGAAGGACGGAGGAAGAAGGAGCGCGAGAGCGGAGGAGTCAAGGAGCAGGTTTGTAATTCATATTAGAGTCTCGGAGGACAAAGCAATCAAGTCGCCCGTAGCGAACGGTTGTGGCGCGTCCAGGCTCGCCTGGACTTCCGCGTCGAATTAAACTTACAGATCCGTCAGACACACAAACAGACATACAAACACGACCGAGGGAACGAGAGAGAAAGAGAGATAGAGAGTGTGTCCGAGCTGACTGAACGAAGAGGAACGAAGGGCGGACGAAGCTGTCGGATCAAATGAAAGGAAAATATTGTATTTTTTATGAGGGTTCGCGCTCAAGAGACAGGTTTGGGGGAAAACTCGTGCGGTTAGGAACGAGAAGTCGATGGACACGGAAGCAGAGGAGAAGATGGGGGAATATAAGGTCGTTGGTCCCGGGGGAGAGAAGATCAAAGTTGGAATGTGTCAGCGGTTTGCGAAAAGAAAAGCTTTTTCCGAGCACTTTATTACGCGCGACGACGACGACGACGACGACGACGAGCTTTCAACAACGTCCAAGAAGTCGCAATCAGAAGCCTAATGAAAATGTAAATTCGCGCGCGAGCGGCTGTCCGTGCGGTCATTCCGATTTTATATACTCTCGACGAGATCTCTTTCTCTTGCCCGTGAACAATTACGGTTACAAGTTGCGCGAATAATTAAATTCTCCTAATAGTTGTGGAAAATAATTCAAGAACTTTGACGAATTTGTTAGTAGTCGCGTGGTTTTGTTTTTTTTTCTCATCGTAAGTTAAGAAACACAGAGATGTCTCGCGACAAATACCGAAACGATACAAATGTTTTTTTCATAAAAAATTTAATTCGCGCGTGAAAAAAATCGATGGACCGAAATGAATGAATCGAACCATCCGGACTCGTTTCGAAATAACATCAAAACAGCAAACTAATTCCAACGCAATTGAAATCAAAGGCTAAAGAAAGACTTTCGCGCGGGTTCGCACTAAATCGGGAGATTTCGAATCTTTTATTTTCTAGACATTAACCTAACCGAGCTTTCGCGCGCATACATATTTAACGCTCTTCTTTTGTTATTTATTGCTCTTTAATTTTCTCTTTTTTTCCACACTAAGCACAATACAGGCGCGATCACCCACGCTATTGTTGTGTTTTTATTTTACTGTGTTCCAATAACGGCGCGGCTCTTTTTACAATATGAACATTTGCAAAATACACACGCAAAAATATGAATTATCCAATTAATTAATTTTAAATATATACATATATATACGCATAAAAATTATATACGGTACTATTATATACTATCTTCACAGAATTCCAATTTGCAAAATGTTTTTGCCGTTAATTTCTTCGAAAGAATAATTTTACAGAATTCTTTTGTCGTGCAGTAAATTACACTTGCAATTATTAATGTTATGGAAATACAGCTTGATTATTTGCGGATGTACAACAAAAATAAATATGTTCAATCTTCAAAAAGAGATGTCTAGAAAAAGAGCAAAAATATTGTCAGTGTGTGTATCGCAGCCCGTACGTTACATAAGACGCGCGCAGCTTATCTAAGCATGAAGAGAGAAGGAAACGCGAGCTTCGGTTTTAATTACAGCCTCATACTCACTCCGCTGTTATTAATGAGCGACGTGTGCAAAAAAAAAAAAAAAAAACATACTTATAACGGTTACTTACTGGCGTAGATAAATACAATCAACAATGAGCAAAAGATAAACACTCGCGGCGATCCGTCTCGATCCACCTCCGGACCGGTCGTCGTAATGAAGATATAATCGCGGTGGTTATTAGATAAGCTCGCGTGCGCTTCGTTATTAGATCGAAGTTCGGCAGGAGTTAACTAGATTCTGATGAACCCGTAACGCGAAGTTGGACGTTACGTTGTGTGTTGCGAACGTTTCCCTTCGTTAGGTTTCGTGTTGCGCGAGTCTCTCTGTATCTATCTACGACAGAGAAAGGATGCCCCGACGCCGCGCACGAAAATTCTTGGCGTGAAAATGATCTCCATCACGGCATCAAGCCGCGCCCTCGTTTTATTCGGCGCGCATGCAACGCCGATATAATTGACGTCAATGAAGACGTTGCGCAACGCGAGAAACTGATTTGGAACGGTAATAAATTTCGAAATGTGTGGCGCATCGTTTTCCCGAGATTGCGCCGTGAGATTTGGGTCGAGAACTCATTCGCGTTTATATTAACACGTTTTACCGCAAAAGTTTCCACCTTATAGTTTTTATTTGTTGATAATTTTATTTTCTTTTTTCTTTTCCAAGATCGAATTTATAATTGTATTTTACCCGTGTGTGTATGCCGCGTTTATTCTTTTGTATTTTAGTCGAGTGTAAATGTCGCGTATATATTTAATTATGAATTTATTGTTTATCTGGTTTGCCACTTGGCGAGTTATTTTTCGTGTGTATTATAGTTTCACTTTATTGTTTGTTAGAGGAAAGAATATAACAGGTTTTTTTTTTATTTGCTTGTGAAAAGCAGTAAAACCGGATCGAGACTAACCTGTGTTAAGAGAAACGTTGTGAATTTACTTTATTAGATCCAGAATCTTGAAACGTTGAATCACTCGCTTCGGAATATTTTGCGCAGCGAGATTGTTGAATCGTGGAATCTCGAACGGCTCCGGTCGTCTCTCTCTTCGGAGAGTTTAGTCATAAAGCCCAAGTATTCAGAAGAGAGGCGACCTGAAAAATCTAGTGACTTCTGACCTAGTAAAAGACTTATATGCAATACGACGTGCGGCGCGATTCCGTCTTTAAACGATTTCGTTTCTCGGATGTTAAATTTTTTAAACGATCTGTCTTCGCAAAAAAAGAAAAATAACTTTGCGAATTAACAAATGTTTAATAAATGTCAGCGCTTCGAAATGTAATTTATGGCGTACTTTCATTAAATCGAAAGCTTTATAACCTGAATTGCGCTTTGAACACTTGGAGAAATCGATAAGCGATTCGTCTATCACGCGATATTACCTTTTCAGTCTCGAAAAGCTATTATATAATACATTCGAAGATCTCTCGTATCGCGAAAGCATTTTTTTATGATACAGTGAAAAAAATCTATAGCGCGTAATATCGAAAACAAACGATACAAGAACATTTCGTTGCGCGTCGCGTTGCAATGTTCATCGTGTTTGCTTCGTGTTGAAATCGAAAGCGATTTGTGAGTTAATATACAAATATCCGATGTATTTTCACGAGAAGCAAGCGATTTTACTTTTTTTTTTTTTTTTTTTTGTGCCCGACGAATTGTTGTCGCGATGATCTACCGCCGGAATGTCTCTCTCTCGTTTTGCCCGGAGAAGGTGAATCGGAGGTCGTCGCTGGAATATCACCGCGCCGAACATAGCGGCGGTCGTCGCTTCGGATCCATTCGGCGGGGGCCGCCGAACCCCACCGAACGGAGTCGGCCGCGATTACTCGTGGAGTTTCGGAGTCGCGCGATAGTGTCTCAACGGACTCGGTTGCGCGCGGACGTGTTGTCTCACTCTCATCTCGTCTCGTCTCGTTTTCATCATATCCGTCAGTTTTCCTCGCCGCGGAACGTAAAAAATTCACACGGTTGTGCAACGAATGCGTCGATGTGCTGTTGAAGTGCGCGCGAGCGAGTCGACGGCAACGTGCACAGTGCGAGTCGTTTCGATCGTTCTTCCCGGGAAAAACCGATCGGAAGACGGCCGCGTATCGAAAGTCGATGCGCGACATTCCGAGCGTTCCCGACATTCCACTCAAGTGTTTTCTATATGAGTGAAAACAATTTCGTTCGAATAAGAAAAATTCTCTTACGACCAAGAGATATCGCACGTTGACAGGTAGAGCTCGGCGAGAAAAAAGAAACCGGATCCTCGACAAAGAAGTGAATCTCGAACGTAAACGTGCGACACTGTGCTTGTCACGGTTGCTTTGAGAAAGAAAATTATCGAGTTCGTTGCCAGTTAGAAACGACTGACGCTGTGTTGACATTGTTGCAGATCCGACTATAGGCTTCGTGTTCACGGTCACATTGTAACGCAACGCATCCGCGTGAATCAAGCTCACGGTAGCTATTGTAACGCGAAGTGACGTGTCGGACGGCGCGCGTGTCCGTAGATTGTCGGTCGCGGATTTTGTTATCGTCACGCATTCATCGCACGAACGAACCCTCGGACCCGCGTTCTCTCATTCAGCCCGTTTCGCGGTACGGTACACATTACATCGATTATCGATAATTATCGCCATTGTTATTGGCGTCCGGCTACGCAGGGGGCTTTACAATCGGACGGTTAACGCGCTGCTCCAGTTTCGGCGGCAGTGACGCGGCTCCGAAACCCGCCGCCGTGACAATAATCGACTTGCCAAGATCGAGGACGTTGAAAGCGTCGGAAGCTCGCGGCGTAAAAGGAACATGCAGCAACAGTCTCTGCGTGGATGACCTTTTGAGACGCTAATCTGCACAATAATAGCAATCGTGTGTCGTCGCGAGTATCTCGTATCGAATTTCGTCGCGCGCGAGAAACTCTCAGAAGAGAATTGTTTTTCCTCGTCGTTCCGTGCGGTGAAGGAAAAACTCACGCGGATTGAGATAACGACTCGCGATTATATTCATTCACTCAAAGACAGACTCTCAATCTCGCTCTTTGCTCTTTGCGGATTGTGTCACACGATATTTCAACGTTTCGATCATTATTTTTCGACGGCGCCTAATTAGTCGAGTGTGTGTCGCGCGAGATTATCACGACACACACACACACACACCACATACATCACATCGAAAGTTTTTTACGCCAAGTGATCAACTTCGTGTCAAGAAGTGAGATAACTCGAGAGCACTCCCCGACCAGGTGGGATACACATCTTAACCGAAAATACACTGCCTGCCTACGTTTCTGTGATAAAAAAAACCTGTGATAAACACTTGGAGATTTCATCAGAGAATCGACAGAGGACTTTCCGTCTTTTCCGCCCTCGTTGAGAAAGAAAATTGGTAAAGTATCAGAAGTCTTAAATCACTAGTTTGCGTTGTAACAATCGCGATAAGATAAAATGCGGTAAATCGCCAACTGACATATCGACTTTCTCTGTTATTTTTACGTCACGTCGTGAGATACAAATTGAAGCGTAAATAATGTATTCTCACGTCCTGTTTGGACATCCCTCAGACAGGAAATGGAGCGAATTATTTATTACGACGAAACTTTCTCTCTTCGCATTCGATACTCCGCGGCGAAAAATCTTTTTATCTTATCGCGATTAAGTTATTCGCAGTTCAGCCGTTCTATAAACTGCACACTCGAGGATAGAAATATTTTTTTCGACCGCGAACAGAAAACGAAATCACGCGGGGCTGATCCGCCAAAATTGACTGGCGCGTGTATGTGCGGAAGAAGAGAAAGCAAATGAGATATCCGGCCGATTTTTCGGTTCAACGAAAACGCAGCTCGGAATCGCAAATCGCGAACGAAGCGCGGCGACACAATTTTCCTGGCTGTGTCCGAGCGGCCAAAAACTCGATCTTTAGTGTGGGGATGGGGATCGACTGTTCCGTCCGCACACGGTAATTTTTCGCGAGACCATTAAATCTTAATTCGTTCATATTCCGCGGAAAGAAATGACGAACAGAATATTTTCGGTCGATTCCTTTGTGCGGCGCTTCATCTAATTGCTCTCGTTCGTCGGGATTATGAGTGTTTGATGTTGAAAGCTGCCGCGTACGCGAAAAAGAGGAAAAAAAAATTGCTATTGTTAAGCGTACGTTTTTATGGCATTTAAAAATCCACAAGTTGAAAGTTTTTCAAGAATATTATATCGAATTAAATTGCAGGAATATAAACAAAGGTTTGGTTCAATTAACTTTTTTTGAATAAATTTTTATTTTAAACAAATTTGTACATTAATTTTTTGTTTAAAAGTTTCGACAAATTGTGATTTTAGAACACGTTTGATGTATTAATTGAATTTTATTTATTAAAACAAAGTAAACAGAATTTTTATTTTTACATTAATTTCAAGATGCGAACAATACGTCGAAAATGATCCTCACTGCGTGTTTGTTTTCGCTTTGCGTGTGAACATTATCCGGAAGTACTTACCGAGAAAATCTCGCGTTCACAATTTCCGCGAATTTTTAATTCAATCGCGAGAAGGACAATCTCTTTATACGATATATGTGAGGATGCCAGGTCGGAGCCGACGACCCGAAGAAGGTTGACCAAGGCCGTTCAGGTGTCTATTTATAGCGTGCCAGAGTAACGAGGTAGTTATTTGCGGGGAATCTCAGATCTTTTTTTAGACCTCCAACTTTTTGAAATTACGTGTATAATCGCGAGAAGAGTGTCACTCTTTATCTTCAATTTAGTTTCGCATCGCATCGCGATGTTACGTCGGCGTGCGTTTCGCGAAACAAATTATATTTACGGCTTATTTCAATGTAACGAGTTAAAAAAAAAAAAAAAAAAATGTTTGAAACGGAGTTCGTTGCGTTTAATCATTTTTAAACGACAAGTTTTAATGGCGCTCTTCGTTGGATTTTGGTTTATTTTAATTTCAAAAAAGTAATTGCTATTGAAATTTGCCTTTGTAATATTATCTTATCGCGTGACACACATGACGGGAAAAGTAAGTCGAAAGTTTCGTTTTGTTTGATCAAAAGTATCGTCTGTGACACGTGATGATATCTTTTATATCGCGAGTATAGCTAGCGATAACAATAATTTACCGTGTTTGAACATGAATTTCGGACAACTTGAATTCGATGAATGGTAATTAAGCGGAATGCGCATTTATTTATTTGTTTGCATCCAGTTTTCTCATTCATGTTCACATAGTGGCAAAATTATCATAATTACTATCAAAATGAGTTATATAATTAATAATTTTACGATAAATAATTATTTGATTTTATTTACGTTCCCGCACATATTTGCAATTATATAGCGATCGTGTCCTCCGCACACGCGCAGATTCTGCCGGACCGATAAAATTTATAACGCTGCGTCTCTCGTCGCATTTGTTTGTCTTCTCGCAATTTTATTGATCCCGAACGTGCGTCGCATAGAAAATCTGTTTCTCTTCCTTGTCGTACGTATTTCATTTAATATTCAAGATACAAAAGTATCCCGGCGAGGTAGTTAAAAACAAATTTCCGTCTTCTGAAAAAAGCTCCCGGATTTTAATTCCCGACTTCGGAATTTATTCATAGAAAAATGACGGGATTGCAAATACATTTCAAAAAATGTTTATTTCAATCCTCGAACTTGGTTCACAATATCACGTTCGATAAATTCGCACGACAAAACTTACTTACGCTTTGCAATTATTACTTCGCACGATATCTCCGCGTTGGGAAACTTTATTTGCATTCTTCGTCGAAAAGAGAAGAAAAATATTCCGCGAGGTCTCCGATGATGACCACGTGTAAAAAAGCACCTCGGAAGCTCCGCGTTTGGCATTTATCGGTCGTTTTAATTTTTTTATTATTATTTAACCGGTCTCTCTATTCACAAGAACGGAAAACCGTAAGAAGAGCCGGGACGGTTATCGCGCGGTGAATATGAAATTCTAATACTCGAGAATCTCTCGGTACCTTTCGCTGAATCGACCTCTCTGCGTAAAAAACAAAAAAAAAAAAAAAAAAAAGTTTAAAATTTCAGAGAAATCGCAAAGAGAAAGAGAGAGAGAGGGAAAGAGAAAAAAGGAGATGGAGTCGTAAATCTAGCACTTGGTTTTAAAGTGTTCCGCGAGACGAGGAGGAACGACAGAAAAAAAAAGAAAAAAAAAAGAAAGAACGTCGCGCTAAATGGTGACGCGACGCCCGACCTCGCCTCGCATATTCCACGCTCGTGTAAATTCACGAACCTCCTCGGATAGTCGCGGCCACGCGAGCAAAGCGAGCGGGGGATGATACGAGAAGCCACTTTGCATTATGCAAGGCCGGGCAACAGGGCGGCACGGCGGGGGCTTTTAAAACTGTATACATTGAAAAAGTTCCCGTTGCGGTGAGTCAGTCCGAAAATTTAAATTGCACTCTTGTACAGCCTTTTATATCCTCTTCTATTCCTCTCCGACACTCTTCGTTTCTCGCTCTCTATTTCACTCTTTTCTCTTTATTTCTCTCTCTCTCTTTCTCTCGCTTCTCTCGCGTTAGGCCGATTTGCATTATGCAAGGAGTTACCTCGATAGCTGCAATCAAGGAAGAGCGCGCGCGAGAGAGGCGGATTGGTCGTTTCGGGAAAGCGGAGTAAACTGTCGCGTAAGGGAATAAAGAGAAGGGAACAGCCCGGGGCTGTTGCAGCGGCGATGACGACGCGTGGCGTCGCGTCGACCCGGGCTTGACTTTGGGACATTAGCACGCCTGAAAAAATAATGGGCAGACCGGTGAGCAGTTTGAGGACGAAATCCACGTATACGTGAATAAAATGTCTCGGTGAGAGAAACTTTTTGTTTGTTCGCGATGTTGCTGCTCGTTCGGAGGATTTCGCGCGAAAGAAACAGAGAATTATCGCGGCGGCTAAAATTCGCTGACTTTTAGCGGCTTTTATTACGAGGCGCAATTCGATTATTTCCGATTGTGTTTTTTGGGTTTTTTTTTTTTTTTTTTTTTTACATCAGGTCAGACGAACTGACAGAATTTTATTGTCGGTAATCGCAAATAACATTGGATAATAAATTATCGTAAAATTTATAATTCACCGCGCGGAAACGTCGAGAAAGCTCGTACGTATCAACCAAATGAAATAAATAAATTTTCATTTTCGGCTAATTAACGTTTATCGGCGCGTTGTTCTTTACATTAATTCGTCGAATTCTGGCGTCGCGCCGCGGCTTTTGATACCCCAATAGAGCGTGGGTATCGCTCGCGGTGACCGCACACTATATACTGTTGTTATCGCGCAATCGCCAACAATTGGATTACCGTTACGTTTTGGCCATTGTCCCCGACAATCATGGCTAAACGCGACGATACAGCTACTGGCGGCGGCGGCGGCGGCGGCGGCACGCGAAAGGTCAACGCGGATCATCGCGCAATGTATTCCGGTAATCTCGCGTCTCTCGAATCTGCTGCGCCGGCCGCGCGCCGCCTGCGAATTCCGCGTCGTTCGTCGCGGTCGTTTTCAACGTGATGTTTGCACAGCCTATTCACATTCACGGAACTCATGTCATTTGCAAACTCCGTGCAGCTTGCACTACGTACTTTGGAAGTGTGTCGCGCGGAAAGATACACACTTCGGTGTGACCGTGAGTCGTCGTGGTATATATCCGCGCAGCAGCCTCGACAAAGCTCTTTTCGCGCGCGTTTGTTTTCAATCACGTGAGAGTGTTTAACAGATGTCTATTAACATTCAATAAAACACAGCTGTATGTGCTTACTCTGTTGCTCGCGTCAATTGCAAATAAACGCGCATAAACGTCGTGATGGATGAATAACGCAAATGAAAAAGAATGATTTACGATCCCCGCGCTCGACTCGATTTCTCGGAGCGATTCTTCTCTCGACAACAACACAATGCGACGTTCGCAATAATAACGCGACTCGCGGAGTTTCGCGCCCGGCAACTTGGACCGTCGGTTTGCGCGATTTTGCAATTTGTCTACGTCCTTTCCCGCGTTGCCGCCGCTCTTTGCATTCCGCGCGTGCGAAATGCCATTCAGCTAGCGCACGTGCGGATAACGCGGAATGCGAACACACACGGTCGTAGAGAATCCGAACTCGTTCTCTTGTGCGCTAAATACACACACATAAGCTCGATCCGCGAAACGTACGCGACGACGACGGCGACGACGACGGCGACGGCGTGTGCATCGCCGACACACACGGCGTCAGCATCGAGTCGCGTGACGCGCCGTCTGAATGATCCGTTCAGAGAAGCGAATTGCCATTCACGTCGTATCGCGAGCTACGTGCGTACTATCCGGAAGAACATAAAAGACGAATCGTAAATAGATCGCCGTCTTTACCTTGACCGCGGATGCCGCGCGGTCTACGTG